GAACAACGGGTTGCTGGTGCGATAATGCGTTTTTGCAAGCGGCTAATCCAGCTGTTTATTTGATGAATGACAATTTTGCTTCAAAATTTTATTTATTATTATAGTAGGACAGAGTTTTTGGATTCCAAGTGCGAATGTATCTTGGTCTTGTAGAGTACCTCAGGAGAGAGACAATGATAATAATATAAAAAATTTAAACCTTTTAGCTTTTCAGTGAGTCATGAATAATCAGCGGTAATTAAAAGAAAATTTTTGCAGTTTTTAGTGAATTGCCACGATCCTGGTCTGACACGAAAACGTTATTGAGGTAGTTTAGGCTGAAGGGCTGGGATGGTTACCAAGCGAAAAAGAAACAGGTAATGAAACCTATGCATTTTTAAACGAGTACTGGAAATGTAGTTGGAGGGAGAGTCCGTGTATGACGTAAATTGAGAACCAAAAAAGGTCGCGCAACCAGTTGCAGTGATGGGGAGAATGTACGATGTTTAAGCTGCAGCTGTTGAAAGTGTTAAAAAATAAAGGCAAAAATTATTTTGCAAATGAAAGTTCGCTTTCGTTAAGTAAACTGAAGTGTAAAATGCTTTTCCTGCACAACGTTGCGCAGCCAACTTCACTGCTACTGTGTAAACGGCCGTTATGGGCAGCGGTACGCTGACTGCAATTAGAAAACCTTATCCCACGAAATATCAAAACGAACGCTGGATCATAGACAGAACAGGCATATTGGAAATTCTATGCGAATCTCCTTACGAACAGATCTTGTATGAATATTTATGCCGATGTCCAGCAACACTATCCATTCACGCTACCAGGCAGCATCTTCTTGCGCTTACCAACGAAACAGAATACACATTCTTTTAAATAAATAGCAGAAAGATTTTTGGCAATAAATGCATTTACATCGAACTCATCGGATCTGGTGGGCGCGAATTTTTGAAAGCTTTTGCCATTCGGTTCAGTAATTAGGCCGAAAGAAGGACACCCAGTGGATGCAAAATTGAATCCAGGCTGGAACTCGCCAAGCTTACCGGTGCGATCATGCGTTTTTGCACCAAACTTGAATAGGTCGTTAACTGCATAAATGGTTGTTGCTTCATACCTACCTTGTGCTCTCACTACTGTAAATCATCGTAAATTTTGCATAAAGGAAAATGGACAATTTCTGTTCAACGGCCGTTCCTTGAAAATGATCTAGCTTTTCAGCGAGCAATTTCCCCGCCAAAAATTTAAGCGCCCACACACAAGAACCACATACTTGGAGGCTGAATTTGAAATCTTTAAGTTGTATTTGTACAGGGAATGCTCCCTTAAAGTTTTAGCATTCCAGCTTTTCTGGTTTCCGAGTTGACAGTTTTCCCGCCAAAAGTTTCACGTACGTGACTTCTGCGGATGGCTTGGAGCTGAATTTGAAATCTTTAGCTCATGCTCGATCCCTGCAAAGTTTCAACTCTCTATCTCCTCTAGTTTCCGAGACTGCATTCCCCCTAAAAAATTTGCACATTTTTTTAAAGCGCCCATAAGTGGGACTCAGGCGTACGCGACTGATGGTATTAAAACGGGAGGGTCGCACATGATGTGGGCAGATACTCCCAAACCTTCAGCCTTCTAGCTCTTCTAGTTTTCGAATTGAAAGCAAGTGACGAAAAGCATAAACACACGGGCATACACATACACAGGCAGATAGCCTCTTGCCAATATGCGTTCTTGCATTTGCATATATGCAAAAACACATAAAAATCATTCTGCTGCAGAAAAAACCCGATAAAGAAGATTTGAAGATCTACCGCCTGATCTGTCTATTCTTTCGTATTTATGAGCTTTTCACGAAAACTCTCACTCTCATCGATGAAAAGCAATCGAGGGAAAATGCTGGATTTCGAGAATATTGATGGAGAACATTTTCGTTCTAAACCAGGTGTTAGTACGCGCAACCTTTTTGTCACCCCTTTCGCTGATGACGAAGACTCGTTAGCATCAATGTTAGAGGCAATGATACTGATGCGAAACGCGGTCACTGACGCAAGTTGAAGAGCGAGAGCATTGGCTGTGTCGGAGGGACGAGGGAACAAATAGCCGTAGTCATATAAGCAACCAGACTCTCCGTTAGATAAGCGGAGGGCAAAATGCCGTTCCGACCACATAAGGAAGGAAGATCCGATGAGCGGCGCATGTTTTTCGCCTTGCCGACAACGGTGGATATTGTGGCGGTGCAAGCGAGGAAGTAAACGAACGGCTCCGAAAATGAGAGCGCACACACATCGAATGGGCGACGGGTATTACTAGAGGTACGCAGTGCAGTATCAACAGGCCTAGCATAGCTGTGCCCAGCGTTTGAAAACATTCTATTAATGTGGTTGACAGTGTATCGTCGCAAAGGTTATCTAGGAGGTGTAATCTCACAACTCGCTATCTGCATGGAGAGAGCCAGAAGAATGTGAAAATTGACCAAAGACGGTCACATAGCTTGGCTGCGAAGAATTTCGATTAAAATTTAGATCACAGGGTCCACAGGCCCGCAAAACAGCCTCTCCACAAATCTGTTTCGAATTTGCTTCAATAGTAAACAAACAGTGGTTGGCAGGCACGAGGGAATAACCGACCAAATTATCTCCGTAGTTTCATCGCTATAAGAGGGCTGTATACTTGGAAGTAATTTGAGTGGTAACCACACAATGCCAGCAGAAACCACACATTAGTAAAGCTGCAGACGAATTTTTTTTTCCAGACTAATTAAAAGCAAGGTGGTAGTGACTGCTTGGTGTTTGGCAGTATCAGTTTACAATCGAAACGGAGGAAAGAATTGCAAACTGATTAACTGCCCCATTGGCGGGATCGAACCCCGACTTTTGTAAGAGAGCAGTGCCACTGCAGCACCAGTTAGTAAACTGGCTTTTGAATAAGCCAGTGCAAGCACTCTAGCAGTGGCCTTCAATTATTTTTCTGAATAACAGGTTCAAGAATCACTCTGTTCATGTCAGGCCGTCTCCTTCGTACTGCCTCTGTCACATCCATATCTAGCCATTGGTGATTTTCTCGCGAACCATTCGCTATAAACTTTGCGTCCAGCAACCTGCAGTGTTGCGCAGTTTTAGTTAACTCATGTCAAAAGTCAAAACTGCCTGCATATTCGCTCTTTACGAGAGGTGCAGACACTTGGAAAGTAACCCAAGTGGTAGCACATGCCAACAGCAATCACCGGTCAATGAGACTGTTGATGGACTCCTCTTTAGAGGATTACTTAAAAGTAGGTTGACAGGAGATTTGAGTCTCTGGCGCAGTGCCATTACCAGTTTGTCATTAAAGCGAATGAACGAATCGTGGAAAGTTCGGTTGCCCCAACTACGGAGTCGAGCCCTCACCCCACTGCACGACAACAGTGCTTTTTCCCCACTACGTCTTGCAAACCGGGTGGAGTAAACTCATGCATTAAATAAATATGCACAAATAAATTTCGTTGGCTTACCTCTCCTGGACATTTCAATGGAGAGGTGCGAAGAGAGTGCATTTGCTTGAGTTGTAATTGTAATGAAAATTCATGGAAATCGCAAGGTGATTTTTTTTTTTTGGGTTGGGGGAGGACAGAGTGGGAAAGAGGAGTTACTAAGTTCTTTAAGTTGTTACCTCCAAATTTCGTTGTTCCTCTGATCAATCTCATAAACCTTGATATGCCTTCGATTTTGTTCTTTATCCACTTTCAGTTTCAATTCAGCACGTTTAATTCGTTCATTACTTGAGTTTTGCCCTGTCACAGCTAAATTATACTGAAGCAGCAGCGTCCTGAAAATACCAGTACGATTTATGAGCAAGATGACTGAGAAAACTTTCATATTCAAAAGCATTTATTTCCTACAATCAAAAATCACTGATGTGCCGGTGCTGTAATCTGCCCAGTGCTGTTGGTCATTTCAAGCCCTTCAGCGTGAGCACTAAATCCTTTCTGCGATTTGCTTTAGTGTTTGTAGGAATACGCTTATCCGATAGAATAAAACAATGTAACTGACAGCTGTTTGCTCTTTATCTAAGAAGCTCGTCCATATTTGGACAGGAGGGAGGAAGTTTGTTATAAAGCTATTTGAATAATGAAAATTTCGAAGGTATGTAGCACCTGTTATCAGATTCCGTGATTGCGTGTGGATAATAATGCCGAACCCATTCAACATCTTCCTTTTGAACGCTTTTATAGATACGCCATACATAATTAGGCACCGGTAAAGCTGGTTTAGCCTGCTTTGGCTGCTCTTTCATATCAAATCTGAATTATGTAAATTCACGATTTAATCTGATTCCTGCTAAGTATTCTGAAAACTAATTTTCAGTTTCCTGGCCGGTACACCGCTAGTTAAGGACTTCTTCTCAAACTCAGCCTCTAACTTTCGATACTGACCGGACAGACATGCATATTTGAAGAAATGTCCGCATTTCTGCTCAAAGCAAATTAGCAAAAATACAAAGTGAAAAGCGATACATTAAAGTCATATTTGTGAGTTAATGCGTGCTTGTCCGTCTGGGCGACTCTATTCCACGTCTATAGACTCCCGGGGATTCAGAGTTGAGAAACGTACTTCCCTATTTTGTATGGAACCACAAACTTTTTTGTCTTTTTTGTGTTGTAATCATGAACTCGAGTCCAAAACCAGGCTGACGTAAAAATTCAAAAAAGAAAAAGCTGCAAGCTCCTAAGTTTTAGTTCATTTCACAAAACAATGCAAGGTAAATGACAGCGTTCGAACTTCGACACACTCTGATTTATGACTTTGCATCCAGATTCCACCAAATGTCATAATTCAAAACGAAGTAAGCCACATACTCAGTATTTAGTTTATGAAGAAAGGTTAATGATCTAAGGTCGGCTTTCGAAATTCACTTTTATTTTTATGCGTTTTTGCTGTGCAGCGCTATAGCGCTGCTACAGCCAGCAAAAACGCATATTTTCG